GGAGGATCCTCCCAGGATGGGAGAAGTATGCTGAAAGTAGAATATTGACCAAACATGATTGCCACTCAATGCCTCTTTTGCAAACCACAGCACCCAATAGGAGAGAGAGAACAAAATGGAATGCCCTGCCACAGAGGCAGGGTGGGATGGGTGGGATGGGGGGTGGGAGGGATACTGGGATCAGTGGTGGTGGAGAACAGGCACTGGTGGAGGGATGGGTACTTGATCATTGTATAATTGAAACCCAAGCACAAAAATTTGTAAGTTTAAAACTGTACTTCATGGTATTTCACTAATTAAAATTTTTTAAATGGGGTGACATTGATGGGGAAATTGTTGACCACTTTACAAAAGACAGACACCCTGATCTGCATTTTTTGTTTTGTTTCCCGCTTTCCCTAAGTACAGACCAACAGAGCCTTTGCCAAACTGGTCCCAGCCTGTGGGCAGGAAGCCCCTGGGCCATGGAGTTGCTGTTCCCTGAACACGGGCTCTGAGTTCCCCAGACCCTGGGCTCTGGCTCCAGCTGAGAACGGGAATGTGGGGCTCAGGGACAGGTGCCTGTGACCCGGGCACTGAGATGAGACCTTGGTTCAGCTCGAGCAGTGTCACAGCCCTGCCTGCTCTAGCACATCAATAGCACCAGCAAGACCTTGGTGACACAATCAACACAGGAACTCCCTAGAGTTCAGTTTCTGTGTCTGGATTCTAGTGCAGCCCATTTGTATGGTAAAAATACCACCTAATTAGCATAAAGTTGACACGACTTTAAGAAAATATTAAAGCATAATATAATTTACTGTGTGATGTACATTTTATAGAAAAATGCTTTATGTGGGGTCGAAGGATGGTACAGCAGGTAAGGTACTTGCTTTGCATGTGGTTGACCCGGGTTGGAGAGCAGACATCCTGTAGTGTTCCCATGCAGGAGTGATCCCTAAGACAGGAATAAACCCTGAGAATTGCCAGGTGCAGCGAAAAAAAAAATCCCAAACAAAAAAGCAAATAAATATAACTGATTCACTCCAACATCATATGCCTCCCTTCCCATCCCCTCTCATCTCCTCCACCTGCACCTCCAGGGCTTCCCCTCTGTGACTCTGATGGAGATTCCAGTATGTCACTCTGACTCCCTGCCCTGAACTCACAGGCCCCACTTCATCCTGCTCACACAGGGGTCCTGGTACCTTCAGAGTGGGATCCTGGTTTCACTCATTCCTGCCCTTGGTCACTGGTAGTTCTAAAGCAGATTGTAGAGTAACAGTTTCTCTGATGCTTGCTCACTAGGACAGACACAATCCCCTAACAATGGAATCCTTGTGGCATGTGGAATACAGAGGCAGGCAGGAAATCTCCCTCACTGGAGTCCAAATGGAAACTGGCAATTGACTGAGGGTGGTTTTGTCTAGGGACCAAGCTGACCCTGCGACCCTGTTCTGCTCTAGTCAGAAAAGTCTCATGATAGACCCTGTCCCTAAGCTAGGCTCTAGAGAGGATCCAAGTCCTCCAGGTCCTGCCCAGCACCTGCTGAGTTTCAGGGTTCCAGAACCCCCATGACACTCTGAGTACAGAGCTGTGTCCCACTCCCACCTGGCTCACATAGACCCTCTGTGGGGACCTACCCTTCATGAGGCTGGACAGAATGGCATGTGGGGCAGAGAGCTGAGAACATTGCTGGGTAAAGGTAAAATCATATGTTATAACAAGTATCAATTTTTAAAATAGCCAGATAAAAATTAATAGCCTAACTGCCTTCTTAGAAACTTATAAAGAAACGCCCAATAAACGTTCAGTAATCATCTTTGTAAAAGTCCTTCATCCTCAACAACAAAGACAACTCTCCCAGCCCTGTTGGAACAGGAACCATAACTCCTGCAAAGACAAGAGGGTGGGACAGAGTTTACATTCGTTTCCTTGTGCTTATTTTCCATCTATGTAATGCAGTGGCAATATTACATACCACCAGGAAGTCTACAGTTTCTTTCTCCATGTCCCCAAGAGAGAGGGTCTCTACCCCTACAGGAAGCAGCACATATGAGGGCAGGTTACAGTTACTCATCATGTGATTTATCCATGTTGGTCTCTGACACCCCAGTTTGGAGACTTGAGCACGGGGCTGACTCTGTGACTAACAAGAGGGAGCATGGTTGTCCTGGAGTTGTTTATTGTTTCTTTCAAATGCACCATTACCAGTGAAATATTACTGCACAACAAAGTTGTATAGACATGGTTACATTTAAGACACAATCTAACATAGAGTTTAAAATTGTAATTAACTCAAATGTAAAGCCACTACTTAGTTACACTAGTTGCATTTGAAGTCTCACCACTAGGAGCATTGGAAAAGCACAAGCACCGAAATCATTCTAGGACCAGGCATATATATTTCTGATATAGAAAACGTGTTTCCCATGTATGTAGTTCCGTGATTGAATTCTAACACACTGAAAAAGCATTATGGGTAATAGTGGTTGAATGGTTCCCTGATCTTTCATGGAGTCATAATAATAAACTTCATTGGTCTTGGTCTAGAATTCATGACCCCAAGGCCTCCTCAGTGGTGCATCCACTGTGATTCTCAGAGCTGGTCAGGGTTATCCTGGGACGTGGAATAAGGATGGAATAGTCACTCTAGGGAGGACCCAGGAGCCCTCTGCTTCCTGCCAACCCATCCACACGTGTGCCATTATCCTTACAGACTCCTCCTCATTTCTGAGACACTCCTGTCTCTTCCAAAATCACACCCATGTCGGCTTCTGGGATCCTAGCACGTAGGACTTACCTATCTGTGACTGACATCTCCTCTGAACTCTTGGTCACCAAATTGTCATTTATCCCAAGCTATTTTACCAGTTTATTGAGGATATGCATTACTTTGTATTACCCATATAGTTTAGTGAGAAACTGTCCCCTCAGCAAAAATCCCCATGGTGAAATAGTCCCTGAGTAAAACAGTTTAGGTCTTACATTTATAATTGGGAATAGGAAAATGTACCCAATGGAACCACAGGAACTTCCAGAGAAGCGAGAATAAAACAGTTTAAGGTTGTTGAGCAGTAGAAGGCATTATGGGCAGAAATAGAATTGGAAAGTATCTAGTCTTTGTATTTTAAGGTGCCTGTGAGACACTCCAGCCTCTGCTCCTCATGCACCCACTGAATATGGATGTGATCACTAACTGTTCTAATGTCCCTGCCAACTTAAACACTGACTCACTTGTTGGGACCCAGGGCGGGAGAGCTACATCACGTTGAATAAATGGCTTCCTATGAGCTCACTGGGACCACCCAGGACCCCCTCAAGCTTGGACACTTCTTGTATGTGTGTGTTTGTTGTTTTGCTTTGTGTCTCTTGATCTCATTTTCTCTCACCGAGATTGCAGGTACCAACAGGTATAATTGGCTTTAGCCAGGTAAATTTAAACTCAGTCAACTTTGGTGACAAACTTTATATTGTCTATTCCAAATACTTTAGGAAATTCTCCCTGGATCCCCCCCAGATCACAGGAAGCACCAATCCTGGAAAACTATCTGTTGCTGTATTAAACAGTAGCCACTAGATGGCGCAAAGATCTCACAAGTAAGAAGGCCTGGGGGTGCTTTTTCTTAGCAATTACTGAGACAGTACCAGGGCTGTTGTGGGCAGGCACAGGGGGCTGTATGGGTGTGATGGGAAAATATAAAAACTGTTAAGAGACTGAATTGGAGCTAGATATTCACCATTTTCTGCTTTGGGGATTGAAATCTCGTTGTCATTGGTGGAGGGAAATGTACAGTGGTGAAGGATGCCTGTTTGAATATTGTATGACTGAAACTCGATCATCCACAACTTTGTCACTGTGTATCTCATGGTGATTTAATAACAATAATTTAATAAATAAATACAATAAAGAGTCACAGAAGTCCAGTCCTGTCTGCTCTGGACTGGCTCATAATTGGAGATAGAGCTGTAGAGTCAGTTGAGGGAAAATGACATCACAGGAGGGGGAATGGAAATAGGTGAGAGTATAGAGGCACCAGGGACCCCCATCTGCTCACACAGGCATCCCACCCAGGAGTGGCCTGTTGGACAATAGGAGAGAGGGGGCCCTGCTGATGGGAGGAGGGCCTCAGGGGAAGTTATTCTTGGTGTTGACTTTCAATCTCCAGCCTCTCAGAGTGTGAGAATCCTGTGTGTATGGTGTCAGCCCCATCCTGTGTGTTCGTGTGAGGGAGCCTGAGATGATATTCACACACTGGTATCCTCTGAGCAGGATCTACCTCAGGGGCACCTCATGGAAGTATGTTGAATGGAGGGGGTGGGGAACTTCGCTACTCTCTTCATCCTCAACACTTTTCTGTTCTGATTGCTGAGGAAAAGAGCCTTAGTGTTTATCCTTGGTTTATTGTAGAAGGAGTGGTTAACTTGTTTGTTCTCTGATTAGAAAATTCTGACTGAATGAATGAATTTCCAGGTATTAATATAGGGGGTGTCCTCTTTGCTTGCCCACTTAGATGTCAGCGGGGTCACTGTGTGGCCCTCCTCCAGCCTCCCTGACTCACTGCCTCACCCCATACATTTCTTGATTTATTAATTATTATTATATGTAAATGATGGTTTTTGTATCTATGGTCTAAGAATAAATTTGTTTATGTGTACTATTTTATGTAATGTGTGATTAAGCACAATAAAGTCTTTGCCTTAATAAAATAAAATCACCTCACAAGGAATATACAATTGATCACAGTGACTGTGTTTACTGCTTCTAAGACACTTGAAACTCTAGAGTAAATATAAGTGTCTGAAATTCATTATCTTCAGAAGTCCTTATTAGTTTTATATTTTATGCAGTAGTAAGTCAATAAAAACCATTTTGCAAAAATATTGAGTCTCTTTAGATTTTATTTACTACAAAGGGTAACTTTAGTGTGTTTTGACATCTATAAATCAAATTTTAACCAATTTTAATAGAAAAAGTCCAAATCTACATTCCACATTTTTGTTTTCTCTCTGCTAAACCCATGTACACAGCTCAAAGTCTTGGAAAATCTGGTACCAGCTTCTATGCAGATGCACCTCAGTCAGGTACTTGTTACTTTTTGGCCACCGGTCTCTGATTTCTCAGAGTCCTGAGCTCTGGATTCCTCTGAGAAAGGGAACATGAGTGACTCATGTGGACATACCTGTGATCCTGAAACTCTCCATGACTATTGAACAGCAGCAGAAATCTGGAGAATTTCCACAATCTATCTCATATATCATTCACATTAATGTATGTATCAAAGTTGATTGTGGTAGCGAAAGTGAATAATACTCTGATCTTTTGTTCTGGTCATGTTAGTGGAATATACTGTGTAAAACATCATAATAATATGGTCAAACATAATGAAATGAAATGATTCAGACTAAAGTAAAATTAATATCTTAGGCCCAGAACTTGAGACCTAGCATCACCACCAACGACAACAAAAAGCACAATTGGCACTACATCAATGTGTTTCACTCCTAGTGATGAGGACAGACATAACCAGACATGGTCCATAGCTATTGGGCCCAGAACATCCTTAGGGTGCAATAGCTGTGGGACTCCAAGCTGGTCTGGATCGTTCTGGAAGGAAGCATGGAGATGGGTTGACAGGTCTGTCCCTCGGGTCAGGTACCCTCTGCTTCCCGACCTCCCCCACTGCTCACCTGTCATTTCACCTGCAGCTTCCTGATGCTCCTAAAATTCTTTCTGAAATGACATTCACGGTATCTCATGAGGATCATAGCACCTGGTCCTTAGCTCCTGGTGAAGAAACATTGACACACATCTGTGTCATGCACAGTTAGACTGAGAAATGTTTCATCTTAACCACTACCATATAGGCTAAGTGAATGTTTCCGCTACTTTTCATAGACTAGAAGAAACAGGAGTCACTTTGCTCAAGAGAGAGACTCCTTCCTGGAGGTCTTTTCACACTAATGCACCCACCCGTGTATTTGCATGCTGTCCCCAGGGCAGGGTCTATATTGGGCAGTCTCACATAAGAGTCAGCTCTGTCTTGCTTTCAGCTATCAGGTATCCACAGATCAACTCTCAAAATGAGACTCCCTGCTCAGTTTCTGGGTCTGCTGATGTTGTGCATCCCAGGTAAGAGGAGCAGGAAGAAGAGAAAGAATGGGTTCAGGAGGGGGTTTGGGAACTTACTGGTATCCTTGTGTGTTCTGTGTGTCAGACTGTTTTAGAGAGAAACATCAGGAAAGTGGAGATGGCCCACAGAAGGTGTAGAGGCTGTTTCTCCATCCCTAAGGTCTCTTCACTGGGATGACATCCTTCTGGTATAGGAGTATAAATCATTCAAGTAATGACTTTAGTAGTAAACAATATTTTACCAAAAATAAATTACAGAATGGAAGCAATAAAATTGACCTGTGATGCTTGAATGAAACCTAACAATTTAAAAAATCATTTTTCCAGGATCCAGAAGTGATGTTGTGATGACCCAGAGTCCACTCTCCCTGTCCATCGTCAAGGGAGAACCAACGTCCATCTCCTGCACGTCTAGTAAGAGCATCGTAAATAGTAAAGGAACCTTTCTGAACTGGTTCCATCAGAAGCCAGGCCAACCTCCAAGGCAACTGTTCTATCAAGTTTCTAAACGACAGCCTGGGGTCCCAGACAGGTTCAGTGCCAGTGGGTCAGAGACAAAATTCACTCTTCAGATTAGCAGGGTGGAGCCTGAGGATACTGGCGTTTACTACTGCATGCAAGGTTCATGGTTACCTCACACAGTGATACAGCCCCGAACATAAACCTCCCCACATGACCATCCCAGATGGCCACACTTGTTCTTGCTGATGTGCAGACAGCAGAATATCTGAGTTAGTGAGAGGAAGGCGTTGGGGATCTCAGGGGAGGAGGCTGCAGCTGTGAGTCTGGACCCTGAGAGACCCTGCTGTACTGCAGACACCCCACATTAGGGCCTGGTCAGAGGCACAGTCCTGTCCTGGCAGGGCAGCAGGTATGCAGAGCTCTGTGAGCTGTGAATGACCAGTTTTAGTGAACTCACAGCTGATGAGCAACCCCACTTCACCCTCCCAGTTTTGCCCACATTTGTAAGGGATATATTACCATCTAGAATCAGATTATTGACACAACATTTTCTATATTTTAAGGCATAATGGAATTTACTGTGAAATGTACATTTTTACAGAAAAGGGCTTCATGTGGGTCAAAGAGAGTACAACAGGTAAGGTGCTTGTCCTGTATGTGGTCAACACATTTTCCATCCTTGGAACCCCTTATTTTTCCTTCCAGGAGTGATCCTAAGCCTGAAATAAGTCCTGAATACTGCCAAGTGTGGCCTCTAACTAACAAATAAAAAACTCACAAACAAAAATAACAAATTAAAAATGAACAAATGAATAACCTAACTAACAAACAAAAATACTAACAAACCAAAAAAGTAGATTCATGTCTCCCCCCCCATCCCAGGCCACCCTTCCCAGACCCTCTCACCCTCTCCAACCTGCACCTCCAGGGCTTCTCCTCTGCGTCCCTGAAGGAGACTCCATTGTGTCAGCTCCGACTCCCTGTCCTGACCTCACAAGGTCAAGTTCATTCTGCTCACACATGGGTCCCGGTGCCTTCAGAGTGGAGCCCTCATCCTCCTCATTCCTGCCACAATCACCCTTATTCCAAAGGCTTAGGATCACTTCTGACTCTTTTCTGTGGATTTCTGTGAAGTTTCCTCTTGTTGAGTGGGGTCCTGAGAAGCAGAATATAGAGTAGGGGTTTCTCTGACACTCTCTCACTGGGACAGACACAGTCCTCTGGGAGCTCAACCCTTGTAGTGAGAGGGACAATGGGAAAGGCAGGGAAACTTTCTCACTAAGGTCCCTTAAGGAACTGGCAATGAACTGAGCATGGTTTTGTCCAGGGACCAGGCTGACCCTGAGCCTTCATGCTGCTCCTGACAGACAAGTCATCTTGTCCTGTCCCTGAGCTCAGTTCTAGAGAGTACCTTTTCCTCTAGATCCTGTCCAATACCTGCTCAGTCCCAAGATTCTAGAACCCTCATGTCACTCTGATCCCAGAGCTGTGTCCAGCTCCCAGTGACTCACAGAAGCCCCTGTGTGGGGACCTTTCCTACATGCTGGACTGGGTGGCAACTAGGTTAGAGGGCTGGGCACAGTATTGGTTTTAAACCTTTGTAAAATTTGTATAAAATCAAAACCGTACATCACAACAGCTATCAATTTCACATGTAGTCAAACAGAAATAAATTAACACCAGCCTCTGTCTTACTCCCAAAGAAACTTCCAATGAATTTTCAGTAATTGTCAAGCAAAAAAGTCATTCATCGTCAAATGTAGAGCGCTGTAGGAACAGGCAGCACAATTTATTGCAAATATCACATGGTGGGGCAAAGTTTACATTTGTTTCATTGTGTTTGTTCTCCATCTCTCTAATACAGTGTAACATGCAGACCCCAAAGAAGCCTACCGCTTCTTTTTCTGTGTCCCTAAAAGTGAGGCTATCCATGTCAGAACTGGTAGTACCTCATATCAGAGCAGCTTACAATTATCCACCATGTGATATATCCACGTCGGTCTCTGACACCCAGAACAATGACAGCATGGACAAAATGTGATAATTGATTGGCAGCCTGGTTTTTCCTGGTGTTGCTTACTGCTTCCTTAAAACATATTATTAGCTGGGAAATTGTCTACTACAGTGTTGAATAGTGTATAGAACAAGACATGACTGCATTAAAGACATGGCTGCAGAGTCTCAAATTATACTAAACTGAAATATAAAATAGCTTCTGGGTTGAGCTAGTTGTTTCTAATCTTTTCCACTACTATCATTTGTAGAGGCAGTCATACATTGGAAAATACAGCACCACCTTTGACCAAAATTGCTCTAGGACCAAGCATGTTACTGACCTAGAAAACATGTTTCTCGTGTTTGAGGCCCTGGGTTTGAATCCTTACACACCATGAAAGCACTCTAGAACGGCAATGGTTGAATTTTTACTTTTGGTCTCTCAGGAAGCCATAGAAACAATCCTTATGAGTCAGTATAGAGCTCTAGGTCAGGAGGGCTCCTCAATGTTGCATCCACTGTAGTTCTCAGAACTGATCGGGGTTGTCCTGGAAGGAGGAATGAGGCTGCATTAGCCACTCTAGAGAGGACCCAGGAGCCCTCTGCTCTCTGCCATCCCACCCCCACGTGTTCCATTATCCTTACAGGCTCCTCGTTGTCTCTAGGACCCTCCTGCCTTTTCAAAATAACATCTGTGACATGTCCTGGCATCACATTCCCTATTACTTGCCTATTTGTGCCTGAATTCTCCTCTAAACTCAGGTCTCCTTCAATATGACAGTAAGAATTGGAAATGTTCACTCAGGATAAGAACTGGGTATTGAAAGCAGGTAAAGGGATATGCATGATAACTTTTCATTATCTGTGTTGCAAACCATATTGCCCAAAGAGAAAGAGAGAGAGGAGAGAAAGAGAGAGAGAGAAATGATTGTCATAGAAGCAGGGTGGGGTTGGGGGTCAGGAGGAAAAATTAAAAAGAGGGGAAAAATTCTGATCACCTGTTAGTCATTTCTCCTCTACTAGCTGACCATTTTATGAGGAACATGAACACTTTTTTTTCTCACATTGTTGTGTGAAACTTCCCCTTTAGGGAAAAGTCCAGGGTCTAAACAGTTCCCTGAGTAAAGCAGTTTAGATTCAAAAGTACATAACTAGGCACACAAATATGTACCCAAACAGCATAATTATACCTGAAAATGATATATTAAACTGTTTATTGTCTTTGGGTTGTAGTGGGCACCATAGGCAAAGGAGAAAGAGAAAGAGAGAGAGATAGACAGAGACAGAGACAGACAGACAGACAGCGGACAGATAAACAGAAACAGAGGCAGAGGAAAAACAGAGAGACAGAGATGCAGAGAGAGTCTTCCGACTTTATGCTTGAAGGTTCCTGCTGATTGGCTCTGAGACAGTCCAGCCTCTGCTCTTCATTGAATGTGGAATTCTCACTCACTGTCCATTCTCACTCAGTGTCTCTGTCAAGCAATGGCTCGCATGTTGGGACCCAGGTTGAGGATGACATTACATTGGATATGTGGCTTCCTGTGAGCTCCCTGGGAGTGCCCAGGCCACACTAAATCTTGCACAGCCCTGGCATTATGTGTGCTTGTTTATCACATGTGTGTCTGTTTGTTTCATTGACAATGATGGATCAAGGTTGAAACTGACAGTCTGGTTGACTTTATTGAGGTACATATTTGTATACTCCGGCTTACTGACAGACTTTACAGTATCTGTTCCAAAGACGTAGGGAAAGTCTCTCTAAATTGCAGCAGCACTGAGATCACCATCAGCTGAAACCTACTAGAAAACATGGAATGCAGATCTGGCCTCATGGGAAATACCCTGGATCACAGTGCCTGAGCTTCCCAGGCCTTGACTCTCTCTGAAGGAATGTAAAACTACAGAAATCATTGTTACCTTAGGAAACTCCACATTATTGATATTTTCCCACTTTTTTTGGCCAAAGATCTGCATTCCATGTTTTGTTTTCCACTTTCCCTAAGCACAGACCAACCACTCAGAGCCTTTGCCAGACTGGTCCTGGCCTCTGGGCAGGAAGCCCCTGGATCATGGAGTTGCTGTTCCCTGAGTCCTCCAGACCCTGGACTCTGGCTCCAGCTGAGAACGGGAATGTGGGGGCTCAGGGGCAGGTGCCTATGACCCGGGCACTGAGATGAGACCTTGGCTCAGTTTGTGCAGTGTCACAGCCCTGCCTGCTCTAGCATATCAATGGCACTAGCAAGACCTTGGGGACGCAATCAATACAGAGACAGCCTGGAGATCAGTCTCCATGTCTGAGTTCTAGTGCAGCCTGTGGACCCAACATCCAGTTTCCCTCAGGACTCAACAGAGTCTCCATACATGTCCAACAGCAGCAGAAACCTGGGAAGTTCCCAGAGATCTGCCAAGTGTAGCATCCTCACTGACACTTTTATCACACATAATTGGCTGAGGGATCAGGAATAACTAATGGACCCTGTTGTCCAGCCAATTTGTCTAGATTTTACTGCATAAATCCTCACAATTAATGTAGAAATTCCCAATAGTGTGGAAAGTATTAAATTGGACTAAACTAATATTTTTCAGGCTGGAGCGATAGCACAGCAGGTAGGGCGTTCGCCTTACAAGCAGCCAACATGGCCGACCCGAGTTCGATTCCTCCGCCCCTCTCGGAGAGCCCGGCAAGCTACCGAGAGTATTCGACATGCCAGACACAGTAACAACAAAGTCTCCAATGGAGACGTTACTGGGCCCGCTCGAGCAAATCGACGATCAACGGGAGGGGCCTTTACTTTACCTTTACCAAACTAATATTTTTATTACATTTAAAAATCAGCTATTATTTTCACGTGATATATTTCAAGTATCAAAGTCCATATGTGGGCACTGCTATTCACAAAGCACAATTTTATAATGCTAAAAATAGTCTAGTGCCAGAAATTCACATGATGTGG